TATATTAAGGTCTTATTATCCATCTGAGCTTATTTTATAGATAATTTTTTATCCCTTTTCTGACTACATGGTACTATCTTGTGAGCTCGACGATGGTTGACTTATTTTTTCAAGCTAGTGCCACGTAGGCCGAAAAGGAGTAGAAAATTACATATAAAATAAGTTCAGGGGATAACAGAACCTTAGTATAATATAAGTATGTCTCTGGAATTTCGGGTATTGGTTGAGGGGATAGTTGTGCATTTCAGCTTTTAATAAAGCATAACCTATGATTTACATTTTCTATTTTTACTGATAAAAATACTTAAAATAATAATAACAACAACAACAACAACAACAACAACAACAACAACAACAACAACAACAACAACAACAACAACAACAACAACAACGATTTCTTCTTTAACTTAGATTAAAATTTTAAAATTTGTGTAAACTTTTAAATTAAAAATTAATAAAATTGTTCATTTAAGTAGATATACTAACAAAACAATCAGTTTAATTTCAATTAAATTAATATAAAAACAGCAGTTTAGCACTTTCCCTATAGGCTTATTCCATTTCTTCACTATCCTTTGAAACACGGATGAACAATTTGAAAATTATGATTTCAATAAACAACGATTTAATTTTTTTTTAGAAAAAAATTATTTTTCAACAAATAGGAAACGGTTCGAACACTTAATATATACACTATTGATAAAGAAAATTATTGTTTAGAGGCTCAATTTTTCAAGGCAAAGTGAGGAGAAATAAATAATTTTTTACACATTACGCAATATGCCAATGCATGTACGTACAATCGAAAGTTGTAAATATTATATTTGATGGATCATGTGGATACAAACTGTTTGAACTTTGAACAAGTGGCAGTTGTTTAGAGAACTCTAAATATTTTAATGTGTTTGAGAGAGACAATCGTTTGGAAGTTTATATTTTTGTTTTTTCATTGGTTACCTTCAACTTTCTTAATAACTAAGGAAAGTGTAATTTGATGGATCATGTGGATACAAACTCCTCGTTTGGTTTCATTTAAAATTTTAAAAATTTTACATAATTAGTTTAGTTTAGTATTTGAAAAGAATCAAATGATTTAAGAAAAAATTCAAAATTTTATAAATCTATTAAATAAGTAGATAATTCATAAAGTTAGTACATGAACAATTATTCATATTCACTAGGTTACATGAACCTTTTTGGATAAGAATGTATCTATTTATTATGATACTTAATATGATGACCTTTGAAGTGATTTCTCACTCTATAAATAGGGTTGTTCATTCACTATTGTAATATATACATATGAAATTTACATATACTTGAATAAGAAGAAAGTCTTCTCCTACATCTACTTCTCTTGTCTTCTTCTTATATTCTTGATTTTATAACACAAAACACTTAAAATTTATTAATTTTTTGATTTATAAATTTAAAATTTCACACAAATAATTTAATTTAATATTTGAAACTTGAACCATTTCAACGATGATTTAAATTACCAAAACAAACAATCAAGTTAATTAATATTTAATTAAATATAAGAATATTTTATATCACATTGAAAACATAATTTAAAGATATTATCACCTTTGTACTCCACAGAATTTTATATCCTGAAACATTTTTATAATAGATTCATAAGAAATAGTATAAAATATTTTATTTTCTTACACAAGACACTGTACAACTATTTAAAAACTCATCATACATTTGATTTTGTAAGTCATTTTTAATATACTTTCATTACTAAGAAAACTCTATTAACCATTCACTAAGCCAAATATAAGTGGATGAATTAAATTTTTCTTTATCTCCATCAATTTTTGTAAAAATTTACTAAACGAAATATAAGTAGAAATAAGTCAATTTTTATTGAAAAAAATCCTTATTGAAGGAGAGATTCGTAATTGGGTCACTCAAGATAAGATTGACCTTATTTACCACAAAAATTATTGAATATTTATATTAAAGTTACTCATGTTTATTCATCTTTTTAACTCCAACAAGGTAAAATAATCACATAAAAAATAAAAATCCTCATGCGGGGAATCAAACTGATGCAACGAATGAGATTACGACAATTTTAACTAGGCATTGTTTTGTTATTTTGAAGTGTCCAAAAGTACAATATATATCAATTTAAATCAAAATTTTAAGTGTATATATAAATAATTTTTCAAAAAATCGTATTGTTATATCTTAAGAATAGGTAAAAAAATAACTAGCCTTGTTATGCATATCTTCCGTAATATCAAATAGTATTAATTATGCTACTATAGTATTTCGGAGCACCGATCTTGTTTGAATGCATAATATATATCAATAAATAAGTACCGCTTTGTACAAAAAAAAAAATTCAATCAACATGTCTCGCTTTTTTTTTAATCTCAAAAATAGTATTTATGTTCTCATAAAAAATTGACTGTATAAATATAAAAAAGAACATGTATAATTTTACAGAAATAAAAAATAATAACAAAAGGTAAACTAAATGATAAAAGAAATTATAGCATAACATAAATATTTTTAAGTCTTAAAAGAAAGCTTAATTTTTAAGGCAAAGTTAGGAGAAATTAATAATTTTTTTGCGGTACGTACTATCAAAAGTTGTAAATATACTATTTGATGGTTCATGTGGGTACAAATTGTTCTGAACAAATGTCAGTTGTCTCTAAATGTTAGATATTTTAATAATATTTGGAAGAGACAATCATATATTTGGAAGTTTTATATTTTGTTTCTTCATTGGTTACGTTTAACTTTCTTAATAATTAAGTAAAGCGTGTCATTTTCTCAGCTCTTTTTGGATATATATGTTTGGATTATTTTTTCTAATTAAATAAAAGAATAATTTATTGTTTATTATGAAATATGATTACTAGTTTTTAAGGGTCTTGAAGTTCCAAAATTGATATGGGTCAGTCTGCGTCGATTACAATTTTTTTCATAGCAATAAAGTGTACGTTCAGATAGAATTTTAAATTTTAATTATATATTTAAATTTTAACTAAATCTCTATTTAATAAAAATTCAAAAAGAATATTAAGTTTTTCTTTTAACTTTTATTTAATATTTAAAACCGTTTCTACAATTTATAAATACCCAGCTTATAATTATATATTATTAACAAACTCAAATGACAGTCATTTTTTACAAAACAATTTCCTCAATAATTTGCACGATGTAATAAAATTTGAATTGGTGTTTGAGGAAGTTGCATGCCCCTTTTCCTTGCTAAAAGAATAAAAATGGTTTATATATTTATAAACAATAAAAGAAAGATGGTTGAACATAAATAAGAGGAACCAATATAATAAACAGTCTGTTTTCCTCATCATAATTTATATAAATTCTTATCTAAAGTTTTCTCTCGCCATCTGTGAAGGTATATGCTAGCACGGCGAATAGATACATATAGCTAGAAAGCTACTCATCAAAAAGACAATAAAATGCAAAAAAAAAAGCAATAAAGTATAGATACCAGACAACTATAGCCCAAGAGGTAGTTAAATATGAGAAAATACACTAATCTAAGTGCTAAGAGCAGTTCTGTTTTTCATGAGGAAAACTACCAGTGAAGACATGATTATCTGTAACCTTCAGAGAAAGGTCCAACATTTATCAGTTCAATTAATAAATAACCAATTCAAAACAAAATCACTAAACAAATAATAAGAGACTAATGACTGGTAACACATATCTTTGCAATGAAAGTATACATTTTCGATGATAGTTCTGTATTAGTGCATGGTGAATGTTACGTGTAAGGTATTCAAGCGAAATGTTAGATTGGGACATATGCAATTAGATATTCAGCTCCCAATTGTATTAGTTGTAGTTATTTTTTAGATAAAATACACAAGTACCCCTCAACATATTCCCAAAATTCCAGAGACACACTTATACTATACTAAGGTTCTGTTACCTCTTGAACTTATTTTATAAGTAATTTTCTACCCCTTTTCGGCTTATGTGGCACTAGCTTGAAAAAAAAGTCAACCAACATTAGGCCCACAAGGTTGTGCCATGTGAGCCGAAACGGGGTAGAAAATTAGTTATAAAATATGTTCAGGAAGCAATAGGACCTTAGTATAGTATAAGTGTGTCTCTGGAATTTCGGGCATAGGTTAAGAGAACTTGTGCATTATTCCTATTTTTTATATAAGGATGTTTTACATGAGCTATAGGATAACTAAATTTTTTTTCATAAACTGCAAAACACATAATACATCGATCACTAAAGGAACATTCATTTCACAACTAAAGCTCTTCATTCATGCATTTTACCGAACAGGTAGTAAACATTCATGTCCTAATTAACAGCACATTTATGCATTTAACCAAACATATAGTATGCATTTCATAACACTTGCAAAAAATGATATGTCGAATCAAACAACTGATTCAACATAAGGAGTTGTCTCATAGAAGTTTATTTATTGAAGTTGTACTTGGTGAGTAAAGCATAAAAGTAACTCAAAAACATGATGAGAATATAGCATCAATAACATTAGCTTTCTGTTAGTTCTGTTAGTAAGAAATCAAGTAGTTAGTTGATAGTTAGTTACAAGTTTCAAGTTGTTAGTTTCCAATAGTTAGTTAGAAGTTAGTTGGGTTATTAATCAAGGTCTATATATAGATTCACATTGTATTCATTTTTAACTAATTCACAATCAATACAATATACATTTTTTCTCCTCACAATCTGCTCTCAAGTTCAATCTCTCAAGCTCAAGTTGAAGATCATCAATGGTGATGAATCCATGGTGATAATCTCTTCATGGTATCAGAGCGAGGGAGTCTAATTGTTCATATTTCGAAGTCGAACTGTGAGCTATTTTTGTTGTTGTTATCAACTGATTCGATTAATTGATTATGTTGTGAATTCTTTTTGGTTTCTTCTTCTTCTTTCTTTCTGATCGAGGAGAAACATACATAGCTGGAAATTAGCAAGTTCTAGATTGTTTTCGTGTTAGATTTCTCACAGATATTCAAACACAATGACTGGCACTCAAGCTGGAGATGTTGCTTCTAGTTCAACCACATCTCTTTTGGATTTTTCAAGTCCTTTTTATCTGCATCCTTCAGAGAATGCTGGATCATCATTGTTACCTGGAGTTTTCGATGGTACTGGTTACAGATCTTGGCGAAGAGCAGTCCTCGGAGCATTATCAGTTAAAAGCAAAACAGGTTTTATTAATGGAGCAATTGTGAAGCCTATATCTACTGATCCTAACTTCATGCAGTGGGAAAGATGTGATGATATGGTCACATCTTGGATCTTGAATTCCTTGTCTCCAGAGTTGCGTGGCAGCCTGCAATATGTGAATAATGCCAATGAGTTATGGGCAGAATTAGAGGAAAGATATGATCAAACAAATGGATGTAAATTGTATCAGTTACAGAAGGAGATAAATGAGCTTGTTCAAGGTACTTTAGACATCACCAAGTACTACACAACAATGAAAAAGCTGTGGGAGGAGATGAACACAGTTGACATTATTTCTCAATGCACATGTGTGTGTTCTTGTGGAGGAAAGACAAAGTTGCAAAAGGCTGAGCAAGATAGAAGATTGATACATTTTTTAATGGGGTTAAATGAAATGTATACTACTGTTAGAGGTAGTATTCTCATGATGAACACTCTTCCTAGCATGGCTCAAGCTTTTGCTATTCTGTGCCAAGAGGAAAAGCAAAGAGAAGTAAAGCCTCATAATCATACAGCCTTGGATTCTACTTCTCTCAATGCTTATGGACAATACAATAATAATGCAGGTTACAAGGGATTCAGAACAAATTACAGTTCATCTAAAGGGGCTTGATCTAGTTCTGGTAACAATATGTCCAGAGGAAATTCAAGTATCAACAGGTCCACCTTAGTATGTGATTATTGCAAGAAGTCAGGACACACGAGAGATAGATGTTATAAACTTCATGGATATCCATCCAATCCAAAGTTTTAAAAGGGAAAAGGAACAAGTTCTACAGCAAACATGTGTGCTTCTGATTTGAATGCACAACAATCTGAGGAAGAGACTCAAATGGGAAATCTGATGCCAATAAATCTGTCCAAAGATCAGTATGAACAATTACTCAACATCTTGGGAAGTATACAAACTGGAAATGGTGTTTCTAATTCTGATAATTCAAACAGCATGATGAATGGGGCTGTGAGCTTGGCAGGTATACTTGTTTGTTACTCCTCTATAAATGATATAGGTGATCTTTCTTGTGAATGTGTTAAGCTGACTGCTGACTCTTGGATAATAGATTCAGGAGCATCACATCATATGACTTATGATAGAACCACACTCACAAATATTAGAACTCTTCCATACCCTTTCTTAATATCACTTCCAAATGGTTACAAGGTTAAAGTGACTCAAGTTGGTGATGCTTGTTTAAATCCAGTGTTAACTCTAAGCAAAGTGCTGTTTGTACCTAGCTTTAAGTTTAATCTCATTTCTATTCATTGTTTAGCACTACAACTTAATGGAGTCATCAGTTTTGATAAATTTTATTGCTTATTGCATGGCCCTTCTCTGAAGAGCCCTCTGGAGCTTGGTAAGGCCAAGAATGGTCTATATTTCTTGTGTCAAAAATGTCACAATTGCTGCAAGTCTGCTGAAGAAAAGTCATCTCATTCTAATTGTCATCTTGTCTCAAAGTTTCACAATGTATCTTCTGTAAGACAATCTCAAATTTCTACTGCAAATAAAGCAGATTGTAAGACTATGGCTTCTTCTCATTCTAATGATAAATGTCTTTCATTTGCTGATGTCTCTAGTCACACATACAATGATGATGAACTTCTATGGCATGCTAGATTAGGACATGTACCCTTTGTAAAGATGAGGAATATAACATCCATACCTGTAAACTTTTCTCCTAAACAACCTTTTACATGCAATATATGCCCTATGGCTAGGCAAACTAGGATGCCGTTTCCAGAAAGTACATCCATAACTACCAAAATTTTTGAATTACTACATGTTGACTTGTGGGGACCATATCACATTCCTACTCATGATGGTTACCATTATTTTCTTACTATGGTTGATGACTACAGTAGGTCTACTTGGACACAATTACTAAGGTGCAAAAGTAATGCCCTTCAAACCATCAAAGCTTTTGTGTCTCTCATAGAAAACCAGTTTCAAACCAAGTTGAAGGCCATAAGATCAGAAAATGGTTTAGAGTTTACCTCATCTGAAGCTGTGCATTTCTTTCGGACCAAAGGCATTATACACCAAAAGACCTGTCCATATACACCTCAACAAAATGGGGTGGTAGAAAGGAAACATAAGTACTTACTTGAAACAACAAGAGCACTATTGTTTCAATCAAAGTTGCCCTTGAGATACTGGGGAGAATGTGTATTGACTACCACATATATAATAAATAGATTGCCAACTAAACTTCTCCAAAACAAATCTCCATATGAGATATTATACCTTAAACAACCTACCTATTCTCATCTAAAGAGTTTTGGTTGCCTTTGTTTTCCAACTGTTTTGAAAACTCACAAGGATAAATTTTAACCAAGAACCATTCCTCATGTTTTTGTTGCTTATCCATTCAATACAAAAGGATACAAAGTCTTAAATCTAGCAACAAAGAAAGTTCATACAGAGATGTTGTTTTCCATGAAAGAATGTTTCCTTTTGTTCATGTTCCTGATGATGACTCTAGTTTCAGTTCTGTTTTTAAAAATGCTTACTCATTCTGTTAACATGCCTTGTAGTCTTGGAAAAATAAACATATTTGCTACTGATGAGATGCTGGACAATCTTACACCACATGAAGTCACTAAAAATCAAGTAACCAATATTACTAACATGCATGAAACAACATTTGCTGATTCTACAACACAAGAACCACAAGAACCTAGAAGAACTTCCAGAACAACAAACACTCCTAGTTATCTAAAGGATTATACCTATACCCTACCTAAATTAAATTCCCTCAATACTTTTGTCTCTCACAATAACCATGTATGCTTCAACAGTCTCTGTTCTGATAGCCAGCAACTAGTCACAGCTATTTCACATGAATGTGAACCTAATACATTTGAAGAGGAAATATTGCACCCTGCTTGGCAGCAAGCCATGACACATGAATTTAAAGCCTTACATGCTAATGATACTTGGGAAATGGTCATGTTACCTGATGAAAAAAAAGGCCATTGGTTGTAAATGGATATACAAAATAAAGCATAAGGATGATGGAAGTATAGAAAGGTTCAAGGCAAGACTGGTAGTAAAAGGCTATACACAACAAGCTGGAGTAGATTACAATGAGACATTTTCACCTGTGGTGAAGATGACTAATGTTAGAACACTGATCTCATTGGCTGTTAAGAAAGGTTGGAACTTGTATCAACTAGATGTGAATAATGCATTTCTGCATGGTGATTTACATGAGGAAGTCTACATGGTACCTCCACAAGGTCTTACAACAAGATGTGATAACATGGTGTGCATATTAAAGAAATCTTTGTATGGGCTAAAGCAGACAAGTAGGCAATGGTATGAGAAGCTAGCAGACAGTCTGTGTTCAAGGGGGTATCAGCATTCAGACAGTGACAATTCCTTATTCTACAAGAAGAAGGGGAGTTCCTTGGTATTTGTTGCTATATACGTGGATGATCTAATCATGACTGGAAACAATGTTGATGAAATCAACTCTTTAAAGAGCTTCCTGCATGACCAATTCAAAATAAAGGATTTGGGAAAATTACACTACTTGTTAGGCCTAGAAATATTGTATAGACATGATGGTGTTATTGTTTCTCAGAGGAAGTTCACCTCTGATCTTCTGAAAGATTTTGATATGTTGAGTTGCAAAACTACTTCATCACCACTTGATTCAACTGAAAAATTGAAGGCCACTGATGGTGAGTTGTTAACTGATCCTTCTCAATATAGGAAGTTGATTGGCAAACTCAACTTCCTAACTAACACTAGAATGGATATATCCTATAGTGTACAACACTTGAGTCAGTTCATGCAATCACCCAGGGAACCACATTTGAAAGCATCCTACCATGTGCTAAGGTACTTGAAACAAGATCCAACTATGGGCATTTTTATTTCAAACAAGGCTGATCTTACTGTGATTGCATACTGTGATTCTGATTGGGCTGCTTGCCTTGAATCAAGGAGATCTGTTAGTGGTTACCTAGTTCTTATGGGAGATAGTCCTATCAGCTGGAAATCCAAGAAGCAGGCAACAGTATCATTGTCATCTTCTGAAGCTGAATACAGGGCAATAAGACAGGTTGTGGGAGAGCTGGTATGGTTAGAGAGGTTGCTGAATGAGTTGGATGTGCAGTGTTCTCTACCAATACATGTTCATTATGATAGCCAAACAGCAGTTCACATTGCCAAGAATCCAGTTTTTCATGAAAGAACAAAACATATTGAGATTGATTGCCATTTTGTAAGGACTAAGCTTCATCAAGGGTTAATCACACTTCATCACATATCCACAGATTCACAGTTGGCAGACATCCTCACCAAAGCTTTAACTAGAGTTAAACACAATTCTTTATTGCACAAGTTGTCTGTGTTTGCATCACCTCCAACTTAAGGGGGGAGGGGGGGGGGTGATGAGAATATAACATTAATTACATTAGCTTTCTGTTAGTTTTGTTAGTAAGAAATCAAGTAGTTAGTTGATAGTTAGTTACAAGTTTCAAGTTGTTAGTTTCCAATAGTTAGTTAGAAGTTAGTTGGGTTGTTAATCAAGGTCTATATATAGGTTCACATTGTATTCATTTTTAACTAATTCACAATCAATACAATATACATTTTTTCTCCTCACAATCTGCTCTCAAGTTCAATCTCTCAAGCTCAAGTTGAAGATCATCAATGGTGATGAATCCATGGTGATAATCTCTTCAAAACACAACAAATAAAATTGAATATTGAGGAACACACAAGCACTAATAAAAAAATTTTGGGGACAGAGGAAAACCACGTTGTTGTTGGACAGTGAATTAAATTTCAATACTCAACTACACTACATTCAAACATCATCAACCCATTAATTAAAGCTAAAATTAGAATTTTATAAATCTATTCGGCCAAAAATAGAAATCGAGGAAAAATTGAGATGTGTGAGGTTATGAGACTTTTCATATACATTGCACTAGTAGGCTTAGATTGAGATTATGAGTAAGGTCTTATGATGTCTTTATGAAATGAAGTCCAAGTACGTTGTGTTGACTATTGCCTTGCTATGATTATGTTGGAAGACTTGCCTTGCATGTTGTCTTGGAATGTATCTTATATGAGGTTGATACATTATGTTGAGGTATATGTGAAGATTGTATTGTCATGATATGCTATGCCTCTATGTATATGCATATGTGTTTGATGTAAATAAAAGTTATGTGAATGTTCACCTTGGTGACAGTTTAGTTTGGATAGTGTAATGAGACACTATTCATGCATTGCACCAATTGTTACTTGAGGATTACTTAGGGGTTAATGAATTAAGCTAAAGGAAGTCAATGATATGAATATGATTGATGTGCTTTAAATGCAATAAATGTTACATGGTGTGATGTTATGAATAGCGTCCATGCCTATGTGAAGTATATGAGCTATGTTGTACTTATTGCATCGAGATTTTATAAAGTTTTACTAAACGTCATGATGCATGGTTTTCTAAGAAAATGTCTTCTTTAAATGCATGTTTTACATGATTGTCATACTTAGTGCATTCTTGTACTAACACCATTCTTCTTCACCTTTTTACACAAAGTGTATGTTATGGATGCTTAAAGGATGTCTCTAAAGTGAAAGGCTTGATAGAT